CTTAGATTATGTCCTTCCTCAGCCACATACAGCCAAACAGTTATTCACAGTAGTCCCACACAGGTGCTGGTAAGACTTCTCAGCACACAGTATGGGCTCTGATTCAGCAAGCAACTTTATCACATCTCCATGTTCAAAATTTAGTTTTGGTTATTCAATTACTAATGCAACTGTTGGAAACGTGGAAGTGTCTGCTAAAGGGTCTGCAAAGATTTTCCATAGATAATCTGAGTAGATGGCTTATATAGCATTCCATACTTCTTGTGGACTTTAATAACTGCTTTTATAGATTGTTATTTCCTTTAAGTAGCACAGAAATAGCCCAATAAAATGACCATGGTTTTATTCCTCTATGCTCATGCATTTTTTTAACATCCACTTTAAAATTCCTTTTAACAGTAGTGAAATCAGGGTCCATTATTTGTCAGGTGATTTTGATGATTATATAACATGTCCTCATACTTATTTCATTCATTGAATAAAAGAACCAGAACATAATAGGCTAATTTTATCTTATTTCCTAGGAAATCCTGGTAAAATAACAAGCTGGAATTTAAGAGTTTACCTCTCTGTTCTTTCAGGAATACCCAAGAGCTTGATCACTTCCCTTCATCTCTTTTTATCTTAGGTTTCTTTTCCTGCAGATGAATGATCTTCAAGGACTGCAGCTCTTATTATTATGCACTGGTATTATTACTCTGTGCTATTGCCCAGTGTCATAGGATGATTTACTTTAGCAGTTAGCATGCAAGAAAAAAAATCATCATTTTCACTTTTAACATGACAAAGACAGAACTTTGGGTTACTTTCCATAATTCATATCACCATTCAATCCTTTCCTTTTTGTGGTATCAGGATTAGTGTTAGCACCAATGCTATTCTATTTGTCTGAAGTAGCTCACTTCAGGGTTTTTCTTTCTGTTGCTGAGCTGTTCTAAACTCATGAATCACTTTTGACTTCAAAAAGCTATGGAAGGTGTGTAGGAGTGCTCCCCAATCCTGTTTAAGGGAAATCCTTGTTGTTAAGTTGCTTCTGAGCAGATTAGAGGAGAGAAGGCTGAGAGCTCCAAGTTAAGCTCTTGACTGGGCATCACATCTTCCCAGAATTATTATCTCTTCGTATTTGAGAGGGAAAAATCCATACACTCAGTTAGCAAACTTCTGAAAAATATAATGTCTGACAAAATATCAAAGTACAGTATTTCTGACTTAAGCTCACAATATATCAGAAGAGAGCACAAAACTTCAATTTATTGAGAACTTTGCACTCAGCCGCACTGAACCTGTACTCTGTTTTCGTGTCAGCCCTAGGCACTATTAATGCAGAGAAAAAATGGAAGAAGGAAGACAAAGACCTCAGAGAGAGCAAATAAATGTAGGTTAATATGAAAAACTGAACTGATAGATGAGTAAATCTTACACTTAATCAGAAATGGCAAATAATAAATGAAATTAATTTTTAAAAATGCAATCAAGATCAAAGAAAGGGGCATTTTAGCTTTGTTTCTGCATTTTAAAAAGCATAAACAATGTGATGAACAGAAAACTATTTCAATCAAATCTGAAAACAGTTATAGAATAAAAAATGTTGGGCTTAAAATAATTTAAAACAACTTAGCAAATTTTACAACAAATACCGCACGAGATGAAAGACCCAGTTTACCACAGTGAATGAAAAAAAAGAAGATAAAAGAATGAGATACAACATAAAATCAAAGGATGTTTATAAATAAAACATGACAAAGTTCAAACTGTGGAAAAAGGTACCATAAGAAGTCAACTACTAAGAGAGTATTAGCAATAATTTTTTTTTTTATATAAAGAGGAAACTATTTACGGAAATAAGGCTATTTATAAGGCTATTTATATAAAGAAGAAACTAAAGATGGAAATAATAATGCAAAGTTTACTAATCAATATGCATTACTTCCCCCCACACACCACACCTGACAGAGGATATGAGTCTGCTGTAGCTTGCAGACAGATGACTCAGGCACCAAAACTTGTATATAAAGCTAAAGCATGTAAGAAGTGAATACCACAATCACATTATATATAAACCACATAATATATTATTAAATTGACCTAAATATAGCAGCTAATGTCGGCAGTACCATTCTTCATTTTGGAGGCTCGTCTATTTTATACAAGACTATGGACTTGTAAGTTAGCATATCCCTCCAATGCGTACATATCTACACACATTCTTCTTCAGTGGGCGAGATGCTGTGACAGCCAACTTTTCCATATAAAACAACTACTACATTACAATTGAACATGCAAACTAATTTTCGAATTTTTCTTTCTCCTTGAAATCAATTTTTCTATGAGTATTTCTAAATATCCAGCCTATTCAACTTTTCTCACCGAAGTTTCTTTTGGATCAAACCCCATTTTTCTTCTGAACTGGCAACAGATAAGAGTCACAGCACAGCAAATCTCAATTAGGTAAGATATTAGGAAAAATAATTTGACAAGGGTGGTCAAACTTTGGAACAGGTTGCCCGGAGAGGCTGTGGGATCTCTGATATTTGAGACTTGATTCACAGCCCTGAGTGACATGATTCAGTCCTGGAGTTGGATCTAACTTCAAAGCTGGCCCTGCTTTCAGTGGAGAATAGGACCAGAAAATCTCCAAAGTTCCCCTCCATGTTAACTTATTCTGTGATTCTATGAACTAAGGATGGAGTTCATTTCATCTGACTAAAAGTATGTCTATAGGACTCTCTAGATTATTATCCTGTGGAGAAAGACAAGCACTTACAGAAGCAAATTCAACTCAACAACTTAGTTTGCTTAAGACTGGGACACTTACTCTTCATGCTTTTGTCTTTCCAAGAATTACAAGAAAAAAAGATGACCATCTTAGACTTGATATATAACTTCTACATAATCTCAGATGAGATGGATTCCAGTTTCAGGAACATTTTTTGGATCAACTCAGCTACATGTTTATACTGAGCTTAACAGATAAGCTGAACAGAAAGATAACACAATACAGTGATTTAACACTGCTTGCTACCACATGTACCATAACCAACAGTGTCCAGATCTGCCATTTCAACAACACATTTTTGGTCTGTGTAAGAGAGAAGCATCTGATTTGCAGTTTCTTTTTGAAATGGGGCACTACTTCAATTTGAAAGATCAGTCTCCACCATGCAGGTTAGAAGAGCTCTTGTATCGCACCGTATGGGTAACAGATTGAGATTGATTTTTTTTTTACAGGATCTGCATACTTTTGCCTTATTGATTTATTGAGTTAGCCAAGTCTATATTTTTCTAAAAGCAATTCCAACAGAGGGCAGTACTACGATGAATTATCCCGTCGTAATTTCCAGGCATGCCCAGAGAGACATAGGCACAGAGCGTTCCTATATTCTACATGAGATATCAACAAGCCCCGAGGTCACAGATTACAGAAATATTTAATAAAGTTATGTAAACGGTGATCAAAAGAGCATAGCATAGATGATCTCATGTAATAAGATTTTGCATTCCCTCAGAAATACAAAATAATTGCAGGAAATTTGCTGCGTAAAGGTTATGAAAAATCATCAGCTATTAATGAATGTAGCTACAAAATGGTTACTACTTCTGTTAACTGTAGCATCATATAAAAGTAACGTGACAAAAAGCACCAGTTTTAATTACACTTCATGTGTTTCATCCAGCCAGCTATGGCTCACACAATAACAGTCCATCGGAAATTGTCATTCTTCCCTATCAAATCATTTGGCTGGGACTTCAGGATCCTTGTCTGCAACTCAGTCTAGGTATAGGACAGCCCCAACAACCTGCCATTTCCCCAGATTTCTCAAGCTCAAGGTTTTTTTCTTCCACATCCCCAAGTTAGATTTAGCCAGCTGAATTTCTCCTCCCTCAGATGAATATTGGGACTACTGAAGGCCTCCAGTTCAACAGGTCCAGCGCAGGTCTGAAAGAACCCTTGGCAATTTGCAGGATTTGGCTAACTGTAATTGCCATACCTTATTTCATATAGGTGAGCACAGCATACAAAATCAAATTAAAAGGTCTGCCATATTTGCTACTTGACCTTTCCCTTCTTATCAGCATATTCATGAAACCTGTTTTCACGCAAAAAAAGCAATGCTTTCGTTTGTTTTTATTTTCTTAAGTAAGTACATCTCCTTGATATTTTTCTAAATTAACTGGTATTAACAAAATTAATACAGCTTCATCAAAGACATCTTCCCTCCATACATGTGCTAATCTTGCCTTCACTTTGCACAAAAATGTGCAAAAATGTCCCAAGCTATGATGACAAATTCTTATGGATAAAGGTGAATAGATTCTACAATATATAAAGAGTTACATGTGAAAAGAGAAATGAAAATATTGTATACTTGTTTTCATAATGCAGCCTTCAACCCTGCATGCTTTATTCCTCCCTCAAACACTGTCGTTCCTTCCCCCACTGTGCACTAATTTCTGGTTTGCCAAATGACCTCTGCAAAATTTAGTGAAGGAAACAGGACCCAGCTCCTGCTGTATGAAAGCGGGAGCAGATCTCTAATTGCATATAATGATCTTGAATCTATGTTCAGTTTTCTTTAGGTGCAAGGATGAGAGGAAGCTGTTCATGTTTGTTATATGTGGAAACTACAACAGGGTTTCTTTAACTTACAGATTTGATGCCAAGTTTCTGTGGGTTTAAATGCAAAAGGGACTGAAGTGTAATGCTATGGAGAAGGTCCTGAAACAGGTGTGGTGGCATCAAATGAAGAGTGAAAGCTGGCAAACATATCATAAGGTTAGACAAATCTTCCTGCAACGATACTCTTTGCAGAAAAAGAACTGCTACAAAGGAAAGAATTTCCCAACGGAGGAACCCTGTGTGCTTTAAAGTAATCATTAATTTCTGTCTCAAAGGTTAACCTAAAGCCCCAACAATAAGCTTATTTGTTCTACTTGAAAATGAGCGAATACAGTCACCAGTACTTCCACCTCAAGGATCCTGACCGTTTGCCTCGACTTACCCGCTTATGAAGACGTTCTGCTTCCTCCTGATAGGCAGCAAGTTGTTGTTTCCATTGTTTTACATTGGCAGTGGACTCCAGCAGGGCTGCTGTGAGCTTAGCATTGTTACCCTTGAGCGTGGCCAGTTCTGCCTCCCAATGCTTGCTGATTGTCGAACTGCACAGACAGAATGAGAATGGTCAGAGCCCCCAGATCTCTTTTTTTTTTTTTTCCTTAAAATGCCTTACAATTTTTTTAAAAAATATCCAGGAAAAATAGAAATATGCAAAAATCCTATGACTGAATGTCCAAATGAGAATCCAAATGCTCAAATGCTCGAAATTATAAATCCAGAAAATATAGACATATCATTATTGGAAAACAACTTTACCTTCCCAGTTCAGGGTTTTTTTTTTTAATAAAATGTTAAGGATGATAAAATCCACATCAGCTTCCCAAAAGCAACAGCTTGTAATTCTGGGATATGTATATGATTAGTCACTATTTTAATATATATGTATTGAGTGAAAGTGCTTTTTTAATCTACTACTTTATGAAATATATTGTAGAAAAAGATCTGTCACCAACGTGAGTAAAGAGAGCTAATGTAGTGCTTTGGAACTACAGCTTAGTTGTCTTAATGCAAGCCTTCCATCCCTTTCTTTATTAAATACCATATTTAATTTGTACTTGCAAACTCAAAGATCTTGAATTTCAACACCATAATACTATTAATATGTTTTTCCTCAATAATATCAGCAAAGGACTAAAGATCAAGGAGCATAGAGATATTATTGCTTTATTGCAAAGAGGAAGCCGATGTTAGGGTTTACTGAAGTAGCGTATGGAGGAACAATCCTCGCCTACAGTTTAGTGATTCTCTGAGCAAACACAGAGCTTTAATTTCCACAGGTAATTAGTTTGCCATCATCCACAGACCCTATCTTTGCATTCAGTATGCAAGGGAAAAATATCTCAGACATATCAGGTGAATGTATTAGTATGCAAATAGCTCATTAATATTTACTTGTATAATGCTAACAGCATATGAGGTGCACACCTACACAGAAAATACATACAGAAAATAATTCATTTTGTCTACTTGTCTTACTATTAAAGGCATCATTGAAAACCAAAGATCTGTAACTCTGGCCAAAATGATTTTGTATATACATTTGTGATGAATTATGAGGAATTATTATAATCTAATTATTTATTATAATAAGATAATATTATAATTAATTATAATATATAATAATATATTTT